CGCTCGTCTTTTTGTTGGACCTTTTGGCCTTTCCTTGGACTTAGAATAAGACTAGAAATGAACTCATTGTCGCTCAGTAAATTTGGTGTTTTGAGTGGGACAAATGTGTTTGCGATAGGGGAGAACGACATCGGTGTTTTTGGAGTGACTGGGGTGAGTGGAGAAATTCCAGGCGACTGTGTTAATGAGTTATATTGTGAAATGTTCTGTGAAGAATTCAGTGATACATTTAAATCACTTTCAACTCCACTGGGACGGATGGGTTGTGGCTTTGCGCTAATTTGTGTCTCGAAGAGTGGTGGTTCTTCCACTGCAGTGATGATGGTTAAGTGTGGCAAATTGCTAAGCATCAATGGTTTCTTTATTGGAATGTTGAATGTGTAAAACAGTGAATCCAAGTGTCTCATAGTCACCGTGTTGCTTTGTTCGATCAACAGAATATTGAAAAATGGCAACACAAACGAGTGTGCGTTGTCCCCTATGATTTCCGTGGGGACATTTTTGTTATAGCGCGTCAGCGAAATGACAAAATTGGACCACAAGACTATTGTCGACAAGGGGGACTTCTTGTCGTCTCCAAAGATCGACACAAACTTGAGCGGAACTGATGAACGTAGATCACAGGTATCCCCACGTATCCCCTCAACACACTTCACTTGTGTTATTGACGCCATATTGTTCAATAAGTTGACTTTCCAGACTATCAGTCCCATTCTATTTTTGTAATGCAAAAAGGTCGATATCAAATCGTCATTTTTCGATAAAAGGCAAACTCCATACAAATTCGGAATTTCAGACGTCGGGTAGAACACGTTGTTTTGTTGGGGAAGTTCAAGATATAAAGCCAACATGGTGTCCAACGATGAGAAGACGTCTGTATCCCCTGCGTTAATTGGAGTTGTTATATCAAATTTAAACGTGTTTTCCTTCGGGTGGACGTAGTACGTTGGTGATATTTGATCCGTGAAAAACGTGAATTTCTTTGATTGTGGAATTTGTGTGAGTGGTGGGATGGGTTCTGTCGTCGAAAATATTTGGACGTTGAAATTTGGGTATTTGAATATCGAGATGTTAACTAAGGTGGGGAAGAATTGAAAGATGACAAGAAAATTCTTTATAAAGCACCATTGTACGCACGAGTTCAGACAACATGGGTCTATAGGAATACTTGCGAGTATACTAGCGTCAAAGTTGAATACCCATAAGACATGTGTTTGTTGTAACAACACGAGGAACTCTCCGTTCATTTCATAGACCTGCAAGTATTGAATTTCAAAGAAGCATTTCCGAAGCACGGAAGATGGAATATGGCACGTCGCCAATTTTTTGTTGTGATGCAAATTGCTTGGAATTGCTGTAATAAATGTCGAACTGTATTCAACTCCTATTTCTTCACTCTCATAGATGTTCACCACCTACATCATTACTCTTTGTTTTCAGTAATACCAATACCAATCAACAACAAACCCTTATCTCTTCAACTCTTAAATAGTCTTCTCCAGTCCATTGAGCTTTCCAGAGTCGACACCCATTACTGTCACTGATGAACTTCCCCGTTTTCTTGATTCTATTCATCATAATTCCATCAGTAGACAAGATGACACTCTCCTCTTTAATTTGTGCGACAATATTCCCATTGGGAAGAAAAGAAACCGACGGAAGGAAATTCGACTTCTCTTCTTCAAACACATTCTTCTGAATGTTTCTCACACGGTGGCACTCGTAATTTGCTTGTGAAAATTGAAACACGACGATCTTACCCTCCTTGTCTACAACGGCAAAGTATATCCCAACACCAACGTCGTACCAATCCACCTCCATATTAATAACATTGGTCGCTTGGATGATCGGCATGGAACTCCCCGGGACTAATCCACTCACAACCAACACGTTGTCTGATCTGATGTACATCATTCGACTCTCGTCCTTTGTTATTTGGAGTGTCTCCACATTGATCTCCTCGTTCTTTCGTGTTTGTCTGTTTTTGATCGCAAAGTACTTCGTTGTGTCCGACATCATGACAAAAGTGCTGTCCTCAAAGCCGACTAAGAGGTCGTAGTCAAACGGAAATATTTGGACCAAATGCTTCGTGAACTGGACTCGACTTTGAAGGGTCGCGTAAAGTCCTTGGTCTTTGAACGTAATAGAAAATTTGTAGACGCTGTTGTAATCCTTCTTGTTACCATTAATTGAGTACATCTGACTAACGAGGAGAACAAACGACCAAATAAAAAGTGTTCGACTCCTTAGCGAAACACCCGCACGACAAATTGATGTTATCAATGTGATGAAGAAGAGGGGGCGAAACAATAAAAGTGTCACCGATGGTCACGTCAACTAGAGCTAAGTGAGTTTCTGTGACAATTATTAGAACCTCGATCCGGTCTAAATTCGGCTTCATAAAGTGGCCATGGACTAATTGAGTGTTTTTCGAAGAAAGATTGCCGACGGGGTGCTCTTTAACGTCGTCGAGAAACATTGAGTACGAAGGGTGATACATCGCTCCCTTCTTTGTTTCTTTTCCAGTTTATATAGCTCAAAGTATTACAAATTAACTATTCAAAGTGGAGTAACCAGAAACTATAATTAATAGATTATTTACTATAAATTATAAATATGAAGGAAACTCTGGATGCGGTGTTCGAGCGCATCGATGTGGCGCAGTTTTTTCCACTTCTCCGGGATATTCTGATCGCCTAGAAAGCTTCCAATGACTGTCCCTGCAACCGCGGAATTGGTATCTGCGTCACCGGCTTCCATTGTTATTTCAGTTATAATTTGTTCGAAGATAGTACCTATTTCGACACCTTCTTTCACACAAGCGGAGTACTTCCTTAGTGCCCATATTGCACATCCCAGTGTTTTATATACAAATCCAATGCAGTTACACAAGTCGAGTTCTTCCAACTTGTTTGCATGAGTGTATGTATCGAATTGCTCGATATTAGACTCAAGAGTTAGAACCTCCTTTCCTTTCAATAAAGCGTATTCTAGAATATCATCCGGACTCTTCTCGGCCTTCAAACTTTCAGCAATTATAGTGCAAATGACTAAACAAGATGCAACACACCGCTCATCATAGTGTGTAGTCCGACATATGACTGCACTGTTTTCTTTCACGCGTTCTTCTTCCCAAAAATGAACTGCGCCGAGTATACCAATTTTCATGATACACCCATTTGATGCTTGACTCTTATTACTCTCTTCCCACATCTTCTTGGAGACTTGTACAGGGTCTTTGACCCATCCAGGAGTTCTCACGACTTTACCAAAGTACTTTCCAACACCCATTGCACCCAAATCACCAAATTCAGAGAACCCAAATTCAATCCAATGGCGCAACCTCAACGCATAGTCCTCGACTATGACATCTCCATTGTTGAAGATCACTCCATCAAGTAATAAAAGCATATTGTCAGTGTCGTCTGTCCAGTCACTGCAAACCCAATTGTCGTCCATCCATACAGATCTATGCGAGTCTCTCAAGTAATTCGCGTAATCAATTGTGTTGTTGTATTTCCAAAAGGCCTGCTTCTTATTCAGAAATTCAGTAGCCAAGCCAACTGCATCACCGACAGCCTGACCAATTATAAGACCTCTAATTTTACTTACAAGTTCGGGTTTGTTATACTTCTCGGGGAGTGCGACAGCTTTGAAATTAATTGGTTCTACTGGGAGATAGAACGGAGAATCGGGACATCGAGTCGGTCCTTCTTTTGCTACTATCTGAAGAGCGTTTTCGGGCGTCGTGTAACACAATTTGTGAGGACATTCTGCAGTTATGATTGACTCAATCTCTTTGATGTAATATCGGAACTGCTCTTCCTCGTTATGAAATGATCGAGATTTTGGTGCTGCTCCTGTGGGAGCAGATTCCGTTGAAGGTTCAAAATAACTTGTTGTGTTACCCATTGATTTCTTAACTTCTAAGTTCTTGTTCCTCTTTGATATGATGTTTGGTGGTCTGTTTCGTAAAACTATTAATATAGTATTATTTTATTAGAATTGAAATCACTGACAAAATGTTTTGTTCAACATTTAGAAAAAAGATTATTCGAGTAATTATATTTTATTAGTTATAATACTAGTATAAGTTAATTCTTTTTATTGATATATTTTGAAACAAAAGTTAATTTAAAAAAGTAAAGTCAATTAATAAACTGTTTTAAACAGTTGTATGTTTTTTATAAATTATAAATGTATGTTTTCGGGAAATCTTTCAACTTATTTTTTGGTTTTTTAAATTTCTTGAATCCCGTTTTAATACAAAAAAATCTGCTCGTTTTAAAAAAATAAACAAAGAATAACTCTAGTATATTATAATAAAAATAATCAATTAAATGTAGTGGTATTAACTTTTATATAGTTTGTTGACTCCATAAAATTAATTTAATCAATTGAACTGCATTTTGTTTTGTCGTAATATTTTTTTTATCAAAATATGCAAAAATAGAAATAGTACACTAATACTATTTTACATGATAATTTAATTATAAAATATAAAAAATGTTTTGGTAAAAATAGAGCGGAATGGATTACAAAAATGATTGGATTATTAAAAACGTCCCGTTAAGCAGTGGTTTAGTTCTTTTTTTAAAGGACGTGTGATGAAGGGTTGATACTTTTTAGTGTTCGAAAATATCATTAGTCTTAATATCATTCGAGTTTTGAATAGGATTTCTAAGTTGTAAATTGATTTTAGATAACTCTTTACAAGAATCTTTTTCATCATCTTCATCATCTTTGTTCATTTGACAACAAAAGTCAAATGAACATATTTCACAACAATCCCCTCCACAAAATGCGTCTAACACTTTTAAAAGCCACCTCATTATCTGAATACAGTTCTTTTTAGTGAATCGTATTTGAATGGATTAAGTCGATGTATTATTCCTCATTTCTTCATCGATTATAGTTTATCTTAATTTTTAACTTGGTTTTTAATAAAAGAACGATTCAAGTTAATTTATAGATATTTCAAACTCATTTTTTATAATTATTTTAAAATGTTTTTGAATACCACTACTCACACATTTTCAGTCTAAACTTCATCTAAGTTGTTTTTAATTCATATATGTTCAATCTCCATTTTATTTGTTTATTCAAATAAAGTTAGCATTTAAACACATTTTAATCATGTTGTATATTTATATAAACTTAATAATCAATACATGAAAGTCTATTATATTTATGAATATATTTATGAAATTCAACATGTATTCTGTAATATTTTATAATTTAATAAATTTCTAAGTTTAAATTATTTTAAAAGTTTTCTGTTTGAATTTAGTTTAAAAATAATGATAATTAAAACCTTTTTGATACATTTATTGATCCATTTGATACTAAAAATGTTTGCACACTCAATCACGATTAGTTTAAAATAAATATCATTGAAATACAATTTAAATAAATTTTATGTTTAAAAAAAACAATAAATAAATTAATTTTTAAGATTATTCCAAAAGGTATATAAGATAAGGTTTGTTAACAAAAATTAACAACAATAATCAGTGATTATGAACATTATATCAACACACGAAAAACTATCAAATTAATAATGTTTAGTTCAAATCAGTTGATGAATAAAAACTGTTTCTTTTATTGTTTTATAAAATTAATAAATAAAACGATACATCTAAACTTATGCAAGGAATTTTAATAATGTCAATTAATTTGTCTGATTGTTAGACAAAAAAATGTTTAAAATGGTTGAGTATATTGCTTAATAAGTGAACCAAATATACATTCTAAGATTATCTTTAGTCTACAAATACTTTAATTGTAAACAGTTAAACGCGATTATCAAAATGATTTTTAATGAACAATATGGTATAACTATTTTAAAATAAGTAATCAAACTGAGAAATAAACACTATTATTGATAAAAATATGATATACTGGCTTGGGTTTGTAACCATCCACATGCTTGGAACAAATCGAATCAATGTAACAACTTTACATGTATTGATTCGTAATTAATATTCATGTATAAAATATATGCGAACTAAAGATTACAAATATGAATACATTTTATTAAATTATAAAAACACAACTCAAATAACAACTCAAAAAATGGGTTTATAAAAAATTAATTTGTTTACTGTTACAACACAACAATAAACCACCAGCATCTACAAATATGATGTGTTTGATATATTCCAAAGTACACATTTCAGTCGAAGAAATATCTTTTCATGTTTGGCAAATGATCCATAGATATATCAGCCTTTGTTCTTGTTGGTGTGAAGTAATCCATCTCCAACACATCACACAAGTTGTCTGGGAGAACGATCGACTCAATTTGAGTATTACTGTTCTCCGCTTTATTAAATATAAGAGAAAGGCGCTGTTCCTTATATACAGGACGGTGGAGGGGAATCGGATATATCAAGCCATCCATATATTCGTCGAACGAGTAATTCGTCCAATTGAGCATTTGACTTACTTCAGAAAGTGTTTCGTCAGTCATGTCCATTTGTTGCAATTCCTTAAACCGTTTGTTTGTTTCACTCTCTTCGACTTTTTCTTGTGTTAGGACAGGAACAATAAGTCCATTTTTAACAACAACCTGAGGAGATGTGTGGACTTCTTCCATTTTCTTTATTTGAATTTGATAGTTTTTTCTCTTTTTAACTAAAACTCTTGAAGGGAATTGCACCTTCGTTTTCTTTATATTATTATAATATTTAGTTGTTATAATAATTTATTTATAGTTCGAATATATATTAATAACAATTAACTATTTATTTATTAAAGCAAAAATAATATTTATATTATAATTATTTTTGCAGAAAGATAAGTTCAATAGGGGCTTAGGAATAAAATCCCATAATATGAAAACATAAAAATATAAATAAATAAGAATATCATTAAATGAAGAACTAGACCGTACGACTAGGATCATTCTTAGAGTATGTCACTTTCTATTAAACAAATAGAATTCACAAAATAGGATGAAGACTTTCATTACTTCAGTGCCAAAGGGAGATACGCAGCAATGCACGATGAACTGCTTGTTGAGGGGTCGAGTGCGTGCACAACACTCTGAGATGAGAGGCACTGAAGTCTGTCTGACTATTTTATGTAATTTTGAAATAGTTTTATTTTAATTAATTTTTACTATTATAATGGCTTTGTTAATTTATGATTGTATACAGTATGACAAGTTTGACTTAAACGACAAGTTTGGGTTAAATGGTAAAAATTATAGTTAAATTATAATATTTTTTGAACTATAACCTGAACTAATTAATTGCTTTTTTATAATCAAGTTGATATAAATAATTTAATAATTAAAAGCAAGTCAAAAACCCAAACGATTATATAAAGAATAAGAAAGCTATAAACCAGTAAAGATTACTATAAACTATCACACGATCATCATTATCAACATTTTAATATATTAGCAAACAACGTAAAGTACAATTAAAATTTATTTGATTGTATAACCATAACATTTCAAATTCAAGTCAATTATAAATACAGTCTGATTTCCCAGAATGTGTATTCAACGTTCTTGTTGTTCTCTATTAAACGAACATTAATTAAGAACAAACCGAAAAACATAGGCCCACTCTTTATTAAGTGGGTATAAGTTTCACTTGCCATAATCAAGCGGAGGTTCTTAAAATCCCACTCTTGGGAGGTTTGGCAATATTTCCTTTCGTTGAATTCGTTTTTATTGATATTATTTGGTTTATAGTTAAAAACAGTATTTACCCATCACGATAGGAAATACTGCTAATTTATTGTATTTACAATAAAAATAAAGTAACACAAACGTTTCCGAATGAGGCGGTGTATGTTTTGACATGTTTAAATACAACGAGACAAACACATTGGGACATACAAAACAATACTTAAAACGTGTTTTGGTTTTATTTATAAGATTCAACTGTAACATAAAACAATAGAATTAATAATAATTTAAATATTATTCTATTTAACCATTTAATTATTTTCTAGTTTAACCCACTGTTTACTATTGTTAATAGTTTTTAAACCATTAACGTGAACCATTTAAGTCAAACTATTCCATTTAAGGCAAACTTGTCTAACTGAATATTGTAATTAATAATAATAATAAGTTAAAAAACAATTAACGCTAATTTCGTTGTTTGAATATTTAATAAGTCACTGAAAAAACACTTAAAAAATGGAAGATCTTAACAACGAGACTTATGTCAATCAGTTTAGGCGACTTGCATTAAAATTTTTGATTGGACTAATTGTTATGATTGTTTTAGTTGTTTGCATAACCTCTTCTATTTTTTTAAGAGCTTTTTTGCACAGAGATACTCAAGTTGAACAACTAACACAATCATCTCTTCAATCACTAATTTAAGAATCTGTTATTTGTGTTAATTTATTTGATGTAATTTAATTTTTCAAACAAAAATAATACAAAAAAGTAATGAATTAATTGATACTTTTGATATAAAAATAGTAAAATACTCTTTGAAGGTCAAAGAAGATTTTTAAACATTAAAAAGTGTTGTTCTACAACACATTAAAAGCTAATAGTCTATCCGTTGTGAATGATTGATTACCGACAAAGACGAGACCCCCTTTTGATGTGTGGTCCTCGTAATTGGTGTTGAACGAGTAGTCAATTGAACTCGAGTTATCAACAACATCAATGAAGTAACCGGAGTACACTCCAACAACACATGCCGAATTTCTTGATCCTGAGACGCAAAGACTTTTCGTGTGTTTATTGACCTCAATAGGGAAAAAGCGAGTTGGTGGGATTTTATATGGATTTTTGAGTGTGAACATAAAGTGGTTTTCGTCTCCTTTGACGTAGACAAAACCCTCCTTTTTCTCTTTTGGTATTTTCTTCGAGTGCCACGATCCGAAAATGGACTTTCCAGACATCACGATAATCATCACGTTCTTCGACCCACAAACATTCTCGTTGAACCCTTTCGAGTCGAAAAAGTGCTTTGATGAGTCGTAAATCAACTCCATGCTATTGGCGCAAGTCCAATCTTTTAAAATTTGCTCATACCTACGAAGACTTGGTATGTCAAAATTATTACACGTCTTCAATGCAATGGCGGGCGACTTCGACTCGGAGAAATGTGGTTCATCAATGCTTGACTCTTGTCTGCTTACCCTCTTCACTTTTTTTGAAAGGCAAGAAGAAGACCTTTCCACACACAGGCTTGGGGTTGAACACTCAATGTTCTTCGAGTTGGACTCAGAAGGGTAGTAGACGTGGCTTGTGGCTTGTTTTTGCTCAGAAGAACTTTTTGTGTTTTCGTCTGAGGTGTCCGGGGTGAACTGAATCATGGAGCTTGTCGAGCGCAGCATTGGGAAAAAGTCGCGGTCGCGTTTCTGCTTGAACTGGGCTTTGTCGTTGTTGATAACTTGAAGAACAGAACTGTTCATGAGACGGATGGTGCCGTAATTGTTCAGCGTCGTGACTTGCATATGACCTTCAAAATTCGAATTTATTTTTCAGGTTAGGCGCATTTTTTTATGGCAGATATTTTCTTGTGTCGTTTGGCAGAAATCTGCCACTTTGCATCTTCTCAAAAGTGCCTTTGTATGCTATTTCACGTTTAAAAAATGTACTTCTGGGACAAAGCAATTTCATGGTATTGGTCTTTATAATTCTACTTTACAACGTTAATTAAACAATATTGTATTAGCAATGGGTATGCAAATGAAAGAAATGCTGCGTTGAAACGAAGAAAGAAGAACGTGATGAGGTTTCGATGAGAAAAACACTAGTTGAAAGGATTTTTCAATAAATCCATTAAGCCCTTATTTGCCCGAGAAACACATTCTATTGGTCGAATTATTTATTTTCAATAATTCGTAAGGCACATATATCGTTGTTGATTGGGCCCATTTTTTGCCTATTTTACAAACAAAAAAGTACGCACTACAATTAATGGCGGTATTTCCCGATAAAATTATCAAATTTGAGTATTAATGTTTCTTATCTAAAAAAAAAAATATTCACAATTAAAATATCGAGTTTGACTTATGACATTTTTCAAAAAATAAAAAGTTCATAGAAAAAAACCCTAATGGAAAATCTAGAAGGTTTTTCTATTTAGACTATCTAATTATTAAACCTGATTTGTAGCTTTACATTTTGTTCAGTTTTTTACTTATTCTTGAAATAAAACACAGTTCTTTAATTCATGTTTCCCAAAACCTCGAATGAGAAACACTCCAAAAATAATAGTATATTTTTTAAATTATAATTAAATTGTTTATTTTACTATTCCAATGGCTCGACTTGTGTCTAAAGTTTAATTCCTCTTGCATTATTCCTGAAAATTTTCTGAAATAATGTAATAATGGAATAATAATAAAAAAACTTAACACACACAACATCCCTCTTCCAATTTTTTTTTGTTTCCTAAAAAATAGTGGTAAGTATTTATTAATTTTTAGTATAACATTTTTCTTTCCATTGTTACAATGTTAGAATTTTTGTTTTCAATCATCAAAAAGTTATTCATTCTATCTTGATGGGTTGAACATTGAATTCAATCATTGAATCGAAATGATGATATAATAAATTGAAAAATTTGTATTATGCAATTTTTAAATTGTTACAAATTTTAAACACATTGTGATAAGTGCACAAAAAGAAAAAACAATAAGTTATGAATAAAAACAAATAGATGGTCATGAATTGAATTGGGAAATAGTTGTTACGACACTTTGTATGCTCAATCTGTTCGAAGGGTTTTGATTCCACATTTTCACAATAAGCTCATACTCCTTGTTGTCGAGGTTGGGTGTTTGTTTGAGTCTGTTACTGTTATTCACAAAGTCTGCGATTTCCCATGGAAATTTGAATTGAGGCGGTTGATAAGCCAAGCTCCAAGAGAGGCACTCATACAGCGTAACACCAAAAGAAAATATGTCTGCCTCTTTCTTGTATTTCTCCTGGTTTAGGATTTCTGGTGCCATGTAAATGGGTGTTCCGATGCCCTTTGTGAATGTCATGTTGGTCATCAGCATGTTGACGTTTCGCGCACTCCCAAAGTCGGTCAGCTTCCCAAAGATGCTGTCGTTCCAGTCCATCGACACAACAAGGATGTTGTCTGGCTTGATGTCTCTGTGTAAGATCCCGTTTCTGTGGAGGTATTGGATGCCACGTGCTGCGTCTGTTCCAATTTTGACGCGTGTTCTTTTCTCGACGTTGCATTGATTTGTCTTCTTGATCAAATCCATCAAACTGCCGTGTTTTGCAAATTCAGTCACAATACATATCTTGTGCGATACAAATACAGCACCATAGAAGTGGACGATGTGCTCGCTTCTGAACTTGTCCAGCATCTGCACCTCCTTCTCAAACTCGTCAATCTCACTCTCAAGTATCACATGGCTTTCTGTCTGTTTCAACTTCTTGATCGCAACTTTGTTACCTCTGAATGTCCCAATAAAGACAACACCAAATGAGCCTTCACCAATCTGCTTCTCTTCTTCAAGAAAGTTGGATCAAGACGC